TTACAATTAGTATGTTTAAGTCATACTACTTCTTAAAAAATTATAATTAATCACATGTTAAAAGATTAATATCTTGGTAAAGTAACTAAAAGTCAATATGTTAGGAAGATACAAGTAGATGGGTATTCTGACACATGGGCTTGCTTAATAAAACTTTCAGAGGTAAAGCCATTCCATATCTCCATCCCCATCACTGATGATATTATTGTATACATATATACTTACGCTCAGAAACACAGGTACTATCCATAGCATGATTCAACTAACTAGTATTTGTTGAGGGCCTATAATATAGTATGCACTATGATATCACTAAAGTGAACCAATATTGAGTGCTACTGAAGTGAACCAATACTCATTCAACTCACTTTTATTGAGTGCCTACTCTAGGGCACACACTGAGGATTCAAGGGGGAACCAGAAATTGTTCTTGCCATTGCAGCTTATAATGTAGTGAGGGTAGAGAAGACTTTCAGGAGTTGGTGACATATAGAGAGCTAAAGTGAGAATACCAGATGAAGGCCCCTTCTTAGAGACAAAGAGATAAGAAACAGCATGCTGTTAACAGGAAAATATAAGCAGTAAGGGGAAATGTCAGGAGTTGAGACTGATAGATAGGCAGGGTCCAGTTCTATAGTCACATTATGGAGCTTATATTCTATCCTGTAGGTAAAAGGAAAACAACATAATAGTCTTAAGCAGGAAAGTGGTGTCATAATCTAGCAACAGGATGAGATGGATGTGAAGGTGACAAAGATGAAGGCAAGACAACTAGTTAGTGTGATGAAAAAGGCCTGAATCAGGGAAGTGGTAGTAGGGAGGAGAATAATAAAAGTTTGGGTCATATATTGTTAATACTTGCTGATTGCTTAGTTGTGAAAATTGTGAGTGGGAAAGAGGAACAAAGGATGAATAACAAGATCATAGAGGTACATTTAACTGAGATGGAGAATATAGAAATAGGTAAGATTTTTTGAGGGGCTGGGACAAGGGTGTGAGTGTGTCTGTGGGTAGAATGAGTTCTGTATTGAGTATGTTGAATTTAAGATAAGGATGGGTCATAAGGTAAGAAAAACCAGATAACGGTCTGAGCAGAGTCTGGTACAGAGATACATATTTGGGGGACATCAGATAATTGAAACCATGAAGAGTCAAGATGAGATCATCTAAGGAGAACAAAGAATGAGAAGAATAGTAGGCTGATAACAAAACCCTGGGTAGTACTGGTATTCAAGGGGCAAGAGAGGAAGAGAGGCCCATGAATGAGACAGGTAAGATTTAGCCACAAAAATACAAGGAGAGTGAAGTGACCAAGGAATTTCTGGGGTTTCTTTGGCTGGAAAAAATTTTTTTAAAATCAGGATTTAAATACCTTTAGGCAAAACATATACTTTCCAGTTCAAGTAAGGCCCCATCATTACTCATGCTGCATCATTGTCTGTGACCTATCTTGCCTCTGAAGGCCTGTGTGCTTGTGACTCCCAGAGTAGAAGCCTCCAAGAAAGGGAGTCATTATAATTATCATATGCAGCCATGAGGACCAGAAAGGGAATAAAAGATGCCCACTAATTTAGCAACGAGAGGATCACAGGGGGATGAGAGCATGAGTGGGGGGGAAGGTTGGGAGTTAATGGGGGGATGAAGACACATTTGTAATACCTTAACCAATAAAGAAATTAAAAAAAAAAGAGGATCATGGTGATCTTAAGGTCAGTTCATCTGTGGTCATGGTGGCAGAATCCAGATTATAGAGGGGTGAAAATAGATATGGAGAATGTAGCAACACTTAAGAAATTTGGAAAAGGAAGGAAGAGAGACTAGACAGTAACTAGAGGGGAAATATAGGTCTAGGAAGGCTTTGGTTTTATTTTTGTGTTTAAAGAATTATTCTCTTAATATGTTTACAAGCTAAGCCAGTAGAGAAGCAGAGGAGTATTAGAAAGACAGGGGCCGCCTGATGGAGCATTATCTGAGAGAAGGCTATGGAAGGTACAAGTAGAGGGTTGAGCTTTGGGCAAGTAGAGAGACTCCTTGACCTCAGAGGTTGGAAGAAGTGAGCACAGGAATTCAGACCTAATTAAGATCCAATGCGGGTTTTACCGCAGGGGGAAAAAGTGACATAATTAAACTATGTTTTAAGAAAATTAGTTTGGCACAAGCATGCAGGATAGATTAGAGTGGGAAGAGGTGGCTGTCTGGGCCAATAATTCAAGCAGGAGATAATGGCAACCCAAACTAGAGTGGTGCCAGTAGAAATGGATAAAATTTTAAAAATCTAATAGACATTTCAAAATGCATGATGACATAATTTTGGGACAGATGGGCATTCAAAAAGAATGAAGAGGTAAAATGACTTAAGAATTTGAAATATTACCCCAGGAAATTAGAATGGTGTTATCAGGGTCAGAAAGGGGGCAACTGGAATGCACAGCCAATCTTGGGAGGGGAAATGCTAGGTTTAAAGTATACTGAGACTGAAGTGATGGTTCTCAAAATTTAAGTTTTGGAAAAAAAAGCTAAGTCCTCTACAAAACAGATGACTGGACAGAGAATGGAAAAAAGAAGAGGTGAGACAGAATAAGAAATATTTCATTCATATAGGGCAACTCTAACACTCCAATGCCAGAAAAAAATAAATAGAACCTGATATTTTAGATGTCTCAGAATTAACTATTTCCTAAGGATCTTACTTTAGCTACTAAAAAAAGTTTTCCTACCATTGACAGACCAGAGTCTCAGATCAAGTAAAATGTTCTCCTAAACATTTAATCTTTTATCAAATCTCAGACATTTGATGTCAAATGTTGAGAGAATGTGTACAATACAAAGTAATTTTCCAAACTATATGCATTGGTTAGCAATTCAATACTGGTTTGCTGCTTTTCAGGTTTTGGTTTTAATTAATACCAACAGTTGCTACCAACACCACCATTTCATACTCCTAATTCCAGAGTCTTTAAACTGGGAGGAATATTATACCTATAACAAGGACCACCACATGGCAAATGTCAGCGCTTTGCTTTTAATTAAAAATAGGTTGGTAAGTACTTCACCATGATTGTGTGAAGGGTAGAATGGAACCACAAGTGAGTTTCAGGGAACTTAAATTCTGTTTTCTTGCTCCCTGTCTGTTCTCTGAACTTTAGAAAATAATAGGGTGAGGAGTTCTGGAATATAAAATATAGCCTGGAATAAAAACCCTTTTTCTGTTCAGTCATGTTAAATAATCTGCATGAAAGTAACCTTTTGCACCATAATTAGTTTGGGTAAAAAAAAAAAGTCTCCCTAGTGATAAAAGGGATGAAATTAAAACAGTGCAGAAAGCTGGCATCTGGCCATTGTAGTCTATTGATAAAATTCTTGGACCAAGAGAAACTATTAAAATTGCCTAACCAAGAAGCAGGTGTAAAAATATCCCCAAACTCATCCTTCATTTAAAAATCTTTCTTAATACATTTCATGCAAAGACCACAGAAATATATTACAAAGAAAACATTCAACATGTTAAAATCAAAAGCTAACATGATGGACCCTGGCCAGTTGGTTGGCGTGTTCTCCTATGCACCGAAAGGTTGTAGGTTTGATTCCCGGTCAGGGCACATACCTGGGTTTCGGGTTCTGTCCTAGTTGGGGCCTGTGGAAGAGGCAACCAATCAATGTTTCTCTCTCATCTATGTCTGTCTGTCTCTCAAAACAGTAAAATATATCCTCGAGTGAGGATTAGGAAAAAAAAGCTAACATGATGGAGGGAGGTGGTATAATATGTATATTATAACATATGATTTCAGATAATATAAACTCAGTTGAAAATCAAAAAGGCTAGGGGAGCCATTATCAAAATCAGAGGCAGCATGACTTGATAGTAAAAAAAATAAAATAATAGCTCTATTTGAAAATGCAGTATAAGATAGCATAGTTAAGAGCATGAACATGACCCAGTACTCAAACTTTCAAGTATTTACAACCCAAGCACATAAAAATGAGAATGAAGTCTTCAAAGCCCAGAGAACCATTAACATTTCCTTTTACTTTGCAACTATTATGGTATGAGGTTCCCCTTTTTATTTTCTCAAATATTACCCAAAATTTCATTAAAAAAAGTCATTTTGCATTAGTTTTTACAATATCATCCTAGGCTTCTGAGGTACTAATTTTCATATATATATATTTAATGTTTGCATATTTAACGTTCTGGCATACAAAATCTCTTGCAAGTACGTATCTTAAATTATCTCAGAGCTGAAAGTTTTTAGAAACCATCTATCCAAAAACCCTAATTTTACAGACAGAGAAATAAAAGCCCAGAAAGGTAAGTAACCTGACCAAGGTCACAGGGTTAGAAAGAAGCAAAGCTGGGACTAACAACCAAGAGCCCTCACTTTCAATCCATTACTCTTTCTACTTTTCATAGCTACCTTTCAACCTGAACCTCTTTCATAGCTTTCTTTCAACCCGAACCTCTAATTGTGTGATATTTAGGGAAAGAGAGTGAGAGTGATAAAGACATGGAAAGGATAACTATTTATTCATTTAAGGACTGGATAGGAAGAATGGATGGATGATTATGTAGGTGGGTGGGAATTCTATGTCATATTTCTGTTTTGAAGAAACCAAGTCTAGGTCTTGTCAAATATCGCAGCAGTCACTGTATTCCACCAGACACCAATCTTAGCAGCAAATAATCTGACACATCCTGCAGTTGAAAGAGTATTCACTTGCCAGCGTACACAGAGAAGCAAGGACACTCACCTTCTGGATCCCAAACTCCTCACTCCCCTGTCCTATGCTCACTATTTACCTGGTTTTGGTGCATCACATTTGCATTCTCATTTCCTATACACCTCCCTCTCGCAGATTTCTCCATTTACATCAGGTGTCATTTCCTAAATGTATGCTTCAGTAAGCCCCGCCGCAGCCCCTACTCCACTGGCCCCTTGATCACCTTCTCATTTGTCGCCATATCTCAGCCTTTAAAAAGCCCATAACCCCCTCTCGCTTACACGGTGATGTGGCCGGCTCCCCGCACCAGTACAGGGTCGGGGGCATATCTCCGCAGGTGCTCCTCGCTCACTACCCGAGGCGGTGGCGGCGTCTCCTCCTCTTGCTCCTTCTCCTCTTCCTCTTCTTCCTCCTCTTCTTCCTCCTCCTCATCTCCCTCGTCATCCTCGAGCCCCGATACAGACGATGACGACGACGGCGACGACGAGGACGAGGACGTAGCTGCTTCTTCCTCCTCCTCCAGTTCCGAGATGGTGTCGAATTCCGCCATGTTGGGCAGCAAGATGCTCATCACGTGACCTCTCGATCGCCGCCACCCTCACGCAGGAGAGTTTGAACTTGCTGAGATGCTGGAAGTTCAGGGAGAAAGAAATGAAGAGAGAGAGGTGTATGGCAGGGAACGGGTTTGAGGAGATGCGCCTGCGTATTATGGTAGACAGGATGGGGTTTGGAGGCGGGGGCACGATGGAGAAAAGAGCAAATCAGTGTACGCTTGCGCAGCTCTAAGCAAAGAGGGGCGTTGAGGTGAACGCCAGTGAATTAAGGAGGTTCGGTCTTCTAGTGCTGATCTTAATACTGCTCTTTGGTCTTCTGCTGCTTGTATCCGGAGGACTTATCTTCTAGTTTTACTTTCTACTAATTAATAGTGAGTATTATTGCCCACTCCCAACCCCCACTGTAGGGAAAGCATATTCCATAAAAGTGGGGTTTGAGCTTTGCCCCAAATATCTCAAGGTACAAACCAATTAGTTACGTTGGTTCAGCATTATAGTTTAAAAGAATTTCACATAAGAACGTTGCCACACTCTAGAGGTATTTTCATTCACATTTTACTGAAAAGAAACTTTCTATTACTACTTCTATTCATACTGTGTAATACTTATAGAGGACTTTCTAAGCTAGGTACTCAAATGTACATATCTCATTTAATACTTCATAACCTTATGAAGTATGTACCATGATCATCTCATTTTACAGATGGAAAACCTAGATGCAGAGAGAATACATAAGTTTTTCAATGTCATGGAATTATTAATTAATGGCAGTTCTGACTTTAAACTTGTGGATCTCTTCTGATTCCAAAGCCCAGTACTATTAACCAAAGGACTGAAATTGTTTGAATAGGCTTTGTAGAGTAGTGCCTTTGGGGCTGCTTCTTGAAAGATGTTTGAATTTTGGAGATTTTTTGGGTGATGGTGGAGGGGAAGGGGCAGGAGGGAGCCTTCCAACCAAAGGAAACATTAATTAACATCATACATTTTCCAGAGACTGAGCTACACTCTTTCACATACAGTATTTCAATCAATCCTTAAACAATCCTGTGAGGTAAGCATCATTGTATCTATTTTACAGATGGCACAACAGAGTCTCAGGACGTTTAAATAATTTCTTAAGGTCTGGTGACCTTTTGTCCAAAATTTTTTATTTCAAATATTCTATCTTCTCACCCACTAAAATGATGTAGAGATCACATATTTTGAGTTTCCAATCCTTGTCCCAAACTATTTCATACTTCCATGTCATAATTCAGGGATCATTGGGACACTAAAGGCACACATCTGCTAAGTTATAAAACAAATACCATAATCCAAGTATTTGATATTAACTTCACTGCTCTTTCTGCTGCACTACAGTTGCATCTCAATTAGACTGGAGAAACAGATATAGTCACGCAGTATAGCAGTATAAACAAAGCATTTAGGATGTATGAAGGTGGAAGAAATTAGTTGTATAAGAGGCATTGATCAAACCATTATCATTACTGAGGAGTTTGTGTTATCAAAATGAAAAAAAAAAAGTTGTGCTGTACTCAAAAGCTTGATTATTTAAGAACTTTAAAACTAAGTTGTAAGCCTAGCTGGTGTGATTTGGTTGGATGTTGTCCTCTGCACCAAAGGGTTGCCAGTTCGATTCCCATTTAGGGAATATGCCCAGGTTGTGAGTTCAAGCCCAGGTCAGGGCCTGTGTGGGAGGCAGCCAATTGATTTCTCTCTCACATCAATGTTTCTCTCTCTCTCTCTCTCCTTCCCCTCTTTCTAAAAATCAATAAAAAATTTTAAAAAATATTCAAGTTGTAACATTTTTTTCTTAATTAAATCTTTATTGTTCAGATTATTACATTTGTTCCTCTTTTTTCCCCCCATAACTCCCCTCCTCCCAGTTCCCGCCCCACCCTCCGCCCTCACTCCCCACCCACTGTCCTCATCCATAGGTGCACAATTTTTGTCCAGTCTCTTCCCGCATCTCCCACACCCCTTTCCCCCCCAAGAATAGTCAGTCCATTCCCTTTCTATGTCCCTGATTCTATTATGATCACCAGATTATTTATTCACTTGATTCTTAGATTCACTTGTTGATAGATGCATGTTTGTTGTTCATAATTTGTATCTTTACCTTTTTCTTCTTCTTCCTCTTCTTAAAGGATACCTTTCAGCATTTCATATAATACTGGTTTGGTGGTGATGAACTCCTTTAGCTTTTCCTTGTCTGAAGTTGTAACATTTTATTAATCAATGTTACCCCAGTAAATTCAATTACAAATTTGCTGGTTTACCCTCCAGGAAAAAAAAAGTAACTAAAAAATTAATTGTAACACTATCACTAAGCAAAAGAAAAACAACTTTTTTATAGTATAGAGAATTTATCTGCTAAGCAGAAATTATAATTAAAGTTGGAACCTTAAGATATTTTGTAATAGCCTTCTGGTAAGACATACATGATATAGCTGCCTTTCTTAGGTATTAATAAATAACATGTCATATTTTGTTTATGGGACTGGCATACCTTAGACTTAAAATCAAATTAATATTCTGTACCAGTTCTTTTCTTTCAAAAAACAAAAAAGCTGTAAGCGGTACTAAAAATTTTTAAACATTATCTATAAAGGCCCACTAAGTTAATGTCAAGAGTGAGGTATTTTGCTGGTTACTACTTAAACAGTAGTTTCTCTTTTTCACCATTCAGGATTATGCTAGAAGAAGATACTCGAAGGAAAGAAAGGGAAATGAATATAAGGGGTGGGCTTTGTGATAAGGTACTGGTACTATGGTAAAAGTAAAGAAATGATGGTTATGAGGACTAGGAGGGAAGGACAGGAAGAAGGAAATTCCACTGTCAAAATGGAAAGAGGTTCGTGTTATTTAGTCAAATGTCAAAAGGACAAAGCAGTTCAGGGTAGTGCTAGGCTTGGAGAAATTTTCAAGTATAGTCAAATCTGCTCATCTGTATGCCTGCATATACAGTGTGCTGAAAAGGCATATATGATTCTAAAAGTAATTTGTGTTGCTGAACTGTAGGAGAATTTGGAATTGGGAAAGCTGAGAAAAACACATTTTGCCAGTAAACACAAGAAATAACATGATTTAAAAATGATAATTTAGCAACCTCCAAGAATAGTAAAAGTAGGCGTGGATGTAAAATAAAGTAGGCTATGTGATTTTCTGCCTGATGTGCTAAGGGGAGTATCTCCTCCTAGCATAATCCTGAGTGGTGAAAAAGGGAAACTACTGTTTAAGTAGTAACCAGCAAAATACTTCACTCTTTGGCTTTTCTTTCCTCTTATGGGTAACTCTTCCCATATGATGCATAGGGACCTGAGGCAAGCAGCCACAGGTTTAACCATCTGAGGTCATTTCAACTTTAAAATAACTGAAAGGAAGTGTAACTTTAAAAAAATGTTCATAAATAAAATATTATTGCAACACAGCTACACTCATTTATGTGTTGTCTGTGGCTATTTTCATATTAGAACAACAGAGTTGAGTAGTTATCACACAGATCATATTACTCACAAAAACTAAAATATTTACTATCTGACCCTTTATAGAAAAAAAAAAATGCCATAACCTGAACCATGCAATTTGCTAGTTAGAGTTATTTCTTGTCTTTACCAACAACTTTATCAGCTGGTCCACCTACAAGGGACCTTTATGAGTAAAATATCCAGTAGTAGAGTTTGCTTCAAGTGCTCAGTTAATGACATGAAGGTTTTGTCTTGATTCTTCCATCTTTGGCTTTTCTTTCCTTTTATGGGGAAACTTTTCATTTTTTAATACATATGTTTTTATTGATTTTTAAATGAAGAGGGAGAGAGAGATAGAAACATCGATGAGAGAGACACATTGATGGGCTTCCTTCTAATGGGGATTGGGCCTGCAACTTGAACATGTGCCCTGACCAGGATTGAACCCAGGGCCTCTTGGGTCCATGGGACAATGCTCAATCCACCAAACAACACCAGTCAGGCAATTTTTTATTCCTTTTGGTACATGATATCAGCTGGAAGCTCCAGGTTCTTCACAGCAACCCCATTATCATGAGTAAATTTTATTTTCTTAGCATTTCCAACAAAAAGTTCATTCTTAATGACTCTATCTGGGTCATGTGCTTATTCCTTTTATTTTTTATTTAAAAATATATATATATATATATATATATATATATATATATATGATATTTCCGAGTGGAAGGGAGAGGGAGAGATAGAAACATCCATGATGAGAGAGAATCATCGATCAGCTGCCTCCTGCACACTCCACACTGGGGATAAAGCCTGCAAACGGGGCATATGTTCTGACTGGGAACGAACCATGACCTTCTGGTTCATAGGTCAACACTCAACTACTGAACAACACTAGCAGGGCCTTTTTTTAAAAAAAATATTCTCACCCAAGGATATTAGAGAGAGAGAGGAAGGGAAAGGGAGAGAGGATGGGAGGAAGAGAGAAAGAGAGAGAGAGAGAAACATTGACCTGAGAGAAACATGGATCCGTTGCCTCCCATAGGTGCCCCAAATGGAGATCAAACCCGCAACCCAGGTATGTGCCCTGACTGGGAATTGAACCCACAAGCTTTTTATGTACAAGACGACTCATCCAACCAAGTGAGCCATCAGGCCAGGACACCTGCTTATTCTAGAAACTTTTCTTAGTGAGGCAGGAAATGCCACAATCTTATTGAATATGCCTGGGATATGTGCACACCCCGGCACATGAGAATGGTGTCAATTCCATAAAAAACAATACACTAAGAGAAGAAAAAGGTACTTATCCAGTGAATATTGGGAGTTGCTTCTTGGAAAGGGGAGAATGTATGCTGCTTAGAATAAGAATCAAATGCCACTAGATCATCTAAAAGTATAATTTAAAAAGTAAATGTGATCCATTTGAGAGCAAAATTATAATCAAATTAATATTACAAAATAAATTTCTGCTGGAAAACAAAAAGAACACTTAAATTTTCCTGGTGTTTTATTTCTTCATTTGTTATGTGTTACCCTGTACTTGTCACATAGCATTTTTGAATATCTGTCCATGTCAATAAATATAGATCTACATTGTCTACTTTTATGTCTACATATATGTTATCATATGGTTACAACAATAATTTAGC